TTCTTCTTGGAGCCATCTGGGTCCAGTGGCAAGATACAGATCAGGATGACTGGAGATTGCTCTGCCCCAGGGTTCCATAGCAAGCAAATGTTAGAAGTGAGACTTGCACTGAACTCTTCTGGCTCCAAGTCCAGCACTCTAGCCACTCTGTCACATGTGTCCTCATCCTTCTTGACCTCTCTGCAGCCTTTGACACCATTGATCATCCTCTTCTCCTCAACACTCTCTCTAGGTTTTCAGGACACAGCTCTCTCCAGGTTCTCCTACCTGTCTGTCAACTTCTGTCTCTTTGGCTGGTGCTCCATCCAGGGCACACCCACTAAACATAGGAATCTCCTGAGGCCATGTCTTCTCTCTCTGGACTCTTCTCTGGATGATCTTATCAGCTCTGATCCATGCAACAATCATCTCTATGCTGATGATTCTTAGATCTAATTATCTAACGCTGATCTCCCTCCAGATCTCCAGACCACCAGTCTCTCATCTTCAACTCCCTACGAGACATCTCAAACTGAAGGTCCTGCAAATATCTTCAACTCTACAGGTCCAAAACTAAACTCATTATCTTTTCCCCAAACCTTCCCCTCTTCCTAACTTTCCCATTACTATCTAAGATACCACCATCCTGCCACCCAGGCGCACAGCCTAGGTATCATCTTTGTCTCTTCATTCTCACTCATATCCCATCAGTTGTCAAATCTTGACATTTCTATCTTCTTAATTAGTCTCTTGTATTTGCTCCCTTCTCTCTTCTGACACTGCTGGCTCCCTAGTGTAGGCCCTCATAACCTCACACCTGGATTACTGAAATAGCCTGTAAATTGAGTTTCCCTGACTCAAATCTCTCCCTATCCCCATAACCCTTCCACTCAGCTGTCAAAGTCATCTTCCTAAAGTACGGGTGTGACCATGTCACCTTGCTATTCAATAAATCCCAATTGATCTGTAGACCCTCCAGGAGCAAATGTAAATCACGCTCTAGGGGTAACTAGGTGGTGCAGTGGATAGAGCACTGACTCTGGAGTCAGGAGTACCTGAGTTCAAATCTGACCTCAGGAACTTAACACTTACTAGCTGTGTGACCCTGGGCAAGTCACTTAACCCCAATTACTTCACCAAAAAGCAAAAAAAAAAAAAAAAAAAAAGTAAAGTGCTCTCTGTTTGCCTTTTAAAGTTCTTCCTCCTACTTTCCCAATCTTTCTACACCTTACCCTCCTTGCTGGTCCTCTCACAAGACACTCCATCTTTGAATTCAGGGCATTTTCACTGTCTGTCCCCCATTCCTGGAACTCTCTTCCTCCTTATGCCCACCTCCTCTGTTCCCTGGCTTCCTTCAAATCTCAGCTAAAGTCCCACCTTCTGCAAGAAGCTTCTCCCAGTCATCCTTAACCCTAGTGACTTTTCTCTGACACTATCCTTAGTTTATCTTGTATATATCTTATTTGTATATAGTTGTTTGCATGTTGTCTTCATCAGAGTGTGAGTTCTTTAGAGCAGGGGTTGTTTTTTGGCTTTCTTTGTATTCCTAATGCTTCACACAATGACTGGCACATTAGTAGGTTCTTAATTACTAAAATTCCTTAATAAAAACTAGTGTGACATTTAAGAAGTTTTGAGACATATTTCTGAGTCATTTGATAATTTTTATTAATAAAAAGATGGTCATTTGGCTGTCTCTCTCTTTGACCAAAGTAGTCATGGTGGCAGGCTCACAGTCTATATGCTCATAGGAAGACTGGGTGCTTCAGTGTAGCAATCAACTTCGATTAGTTAACAATTAATGAGAGAATGAACATTACAATGAGGACCTCGACTTGAATTCCAGGACTGGTTTTTGTATCTGTATCCCCAGTGCCTACTTCGATGCCTAGCACACAGCCAGCACTAAATAAATGCTTGTATGTTGATCAATTCAATGCCTGAACAGAATTGTTAGAGGAAACACTGACCTGAATAGTTGTTGGAGAGGATTTCTCTAAGGAAAGAGTGCCATCTAGGGGAACTAGGTGAAATAGCAAGTATTGTACCCAAAGGATCTAAAAAAGCCATTTACTTTATTTAAATAGCCAAATAAGGCAAGAGAAAGCTGTGGAAATGATTTCATTTTCATAGGATCACAGATTTAGAACTAGGAAGAATCTTAGAGGCGATCTAGCCCAACCTCTTCTTCACAGAAAAGGAAACACAGATCACAGGATCCTAAGAGCATAGATTTAGAGCTAGAAAAGACCTTGGGGTCATCCAGTGCACTACCTCCCCCCCATTTTACAGCTGAGGAAACTGAGGCTCAGAGGGATTAAGTGATGTTTCCAAGGTCACATGGCTTGTGACAGAGCCAGGATTTGAACCAAAATCCTCTGATGCCAACTCCAGCATTTTTTTTTTTTTTGCTTTACCTTTGTTTTATTGTTCCTTAAAATCATTCCACCTGCCCAATTACAATTTTTAAGGAACTATTTTCTTCAGCGAGTTTTTGTACCTTCTTTTCTATTTGGCCAATTCTACTATTTAAGCTGTTTTCTTTAATGAATTTTTTATATCTTTTTCCATTTTTTATACTTCCTTTACTAAGCTGTTGTCTTTTTTCATGATTCTCTTGCATCATTCTCATTTCTTTTCCCAATTTTTCCTCTACCTCTCTTATTTGATTTTAAAAATTCTTTTTCAGTTCTTCCAGTCAATCTTTTTGGGCCTGAGACCAATTCACTTTTTTCTTTGAGGCTTTGTATGTAGTCATGTTGGACACTGTTATACTCTTTGAGTTTGTGTTTTGATCTTCCCTATGGCTTTTTTTTTTTTTTTTTTTTGGTTAAGGCAGTCAGGGTGACTTGTCCAGGGTCACACAGCTAGTAAATATCAAGTGTCTGAGGCCGGATTTCAACTCTGGTCCTCCTGACTCCAAGGCCAGAGCTCTATCCGCTGCGCCACCTAGCTGTCCCCCACAGGAACTTTCTATGGTCAGATTCTTTTTTTGTTGTTTATTCATTTTCCAGCCTATTTCTTTACTTTTAACTCTGTTAAAGTTGGGCTCTGCTTCTGGGGTGAATAGGGCACTGTCCTAAACTTTAGTTTTTTTTGTTCTGTTGTTTTCAGAGCTAGCTCTGGAGGTTTGTAAGTTTTCAGTTCTTTGGAAGGGGTGCGATCTAAAGAGAGGTGTGGTCACTGTTCTCCTGGCCTGTGCTCTGTTCTGTGAGCAACCACAAGCACTGTTTTCTGCCCTGGAACTGTGACCAGAGTTCCCACTTGTCTGCTGCCAGGAGCTCTAGTGTACTTGTGCTTCTCTTCACCCTAGGACTGCAACTGGGATCCCCATGTGGGCAATGCGAGAGAGGCCTGCACCCAGGGCCAATTAAGGGTCCTTTGTAATCTCCTCCTACCCAGTTGTTCGACCTTCTTACTATCTGTGGTCTGAGAGCTCTGAAAGTTGCTGCCAAAGATTCAGTTGCCCCTAAGGCCTGCTGCTGGCTTGACTCAGGACTCTGGCCTTGCTGCTGGCTTGCCAGGTGAGGGTGCCCAGTCTGTATTTCCCCTCTTACCCCAGTGAGACAGACATTTCCTGCCAACCTTCTAAATTCTCTTGGGCAGTAAAATTGTTTCACTCTGTCCTTTTGTTGGTTCTGTTGCTCCAAAATTCTTTTTGAGGCTTTATTTTTAAGTTGTTTGGAAGAGAATTTGGGAGAAGTTGGACAAGTCCTTGCCTTTAATTTGACATTTGGCTCTACCACCCCCTGCTTCATCTTTGAAGCTTGGAATCTACAAACTCTTTTTTTTTTCTTAAATAGTATTTTATTTTTTCCCAATTACATGTAAAGACAATTTTAAACATTTATTTTTATTAAAATTTTTACTTACAAATTTTCTTCCTGGAATCTGCAAGCTCTTAGCAGAAGACTTGAGAGGAATATTTTTTAATGATGTACTTCCAACAAAGTTGGGAATAAGGGCACTATTTCTTATACACAAGTAAATGGTTGGTTAGCCAATTTATTGCTGAAACCTCTTTTGAGGACAATAAGGAAATTCATCCCCAGACTGTAAAGTGCCCACATGCACTTTGTAAACTTTGGTCTGAAGTCCTTGGGAATACATGACAGCTTAAAAAAAGCTTTCCTAGGTAAATTTACATTTTTAAAAGTATCAAAAAAGTTCACTGGAAAATCACATCTCTCAGTGGATGGTTAAGTATATCTCTTCACATTTGGGAGCCTTCTCAGTGCCTCTATTGTGTTATGAATTCTTTGATCCAACCTGTTCTAAAATGAAACATCCCCATTTTCTCTTTCCATTTCCACTATTGATACAAAATTAATTTATTTCACCTTAATAACTACTTTTCATAATATAATCAACTCCTTTAAATTATCTGGGACTTAGCTGGAATTTTTGCTGGAAGGTAATAATTGCATAGTCACTATTCTGATTTCATCATTCAAAGAAATTGAAGTGATGTTTGAAGCGATAAAAAAAACTGATTACCTTTTTTTCTATGTATATCTTGCTGTTTCCTGCTGCTAATATGAATTTCTTACAGTCATAAAGCTGTTATGCTTTCTCCAACTTTTTACCTAGCCAATGTCTGGAAAGCATTTAACATTTCTTTTAACAACAAAAGATTAGTATCACAGGGCTTAAAGTAGGAAAAGCCCTTTAATGATAATTAGCAAACTCTCACAGTTGTGTGACTAAGCAATCTTAGATTATTTTTCTACTGCTTAAGAACTTAAAAGACATGTGATTAGAACTTTAAAAATTAGAAGAAAAAAAAAAGAGGTTGTATCCATTCAGAATAAAGCAATTAGAGTGTGTTCGGTAGACCGCAGTTGTTCCCGTCAATCTTTTAGCCTTCTGTGGTAAGTTTTTTAGAGGCATACCCCATTATGAGTGGTTACTCTTCCTAGGTGCACAGTGCTGGTCAATAGTCTAGAGGACTTGAGTTCAAATCTGGCCTCAGATATTTATTGTATGACCCTGGGCAAGTCACTTAACCCTGTTTGCCTCAGTTTCCTCATCAGTAAAATGATCTGGAGCAGAAAATGGCAAACCACTCCAGTATCCTTGCCAAGAAAACCACAAAAGGGGGTTGCAGAAAGTTGGACATGACCTAAATGACTCAACAACTCTTTCTCTAGTCTTGTCTGTTTGTGTCATCTTTTTGCCACTCAGTCCTAAGCTATGGAGAAATCAGAATCATTCCAGATAAAACAGAGGGTGTCCAAATGCAGAGTGTAACTCAGAAAGTTGATTAAACATGGAACTTAAAATGATTTTCAGGATACCACTAGGTGGAAGCATATCTCAGTAAAGAACTAGAAGATTTATCATCGACAAGTCTTGGGTTCTTAATGTTCATACTCTGAGTTGACAGATACCCAAACTGTGCATTACCGTCCACTTAAATTCAATCTTTTTGGAATTAATACCTAGAGCTTCGGTCCTCTTTAAACTTCTGAGCTTAATTATATTTCTTTTTCATGATAATCATTTAGAGTTAATTGATCCCAGAAAGGTCATATGATCATAGGATTTGAAACTGTAGGCAGGTGAGAACACATGAATGGGGGAGCGAATCTTAAATAGGTAAGCTATATCATATCATATTGAAGTAACCGAGGCACTCTGAATCTACCCAGAGCAGAGCTGCTATCTCTTCCCCACCATCATGTTGCCTCTGTTCTGTCCATTATCCCTATCTCCTGGGTACCAGAAACTGGACTTCACTAGACCTCCAGACACTGAACTCTGATGGGGAGGCCTTTCACATTATCTTGCCTATTAGGAGTCTCTACTTCCTTCCTTCCCCCTTCCAGCTCTTATGTACTGTCTTCCCATTTGAACGTAAGCTTCTTGAGGGCAAGGGCTGTCTTGCTCACTTATATTTGTCTTCCCTCTACTTAGCACAGTGCCAAGTATATATAAGCTCTTAATAAATGATTTCTCTCTCTCTCCTCCTTCCTACCCTCTAACCTGGTTCCTGCATTCAATGTTGATTAGTCAGTGATATTCTGAAATATCCTTTCTGTCTCAACAACATTGGAATCCTTTGCCTTCCATCCTCCTTTTGTAAACATCTGGCCTTAGTGTAAAGATCTTTGGTATTAAATAGAGCCACAGGTCAATCACAAGGATTGACTTAGACACAATTCTCTTCAATCCAGTTCTTTTAAAAAATAAAGTTTTTTGAGGTGTCATCAACATACTTCCATCAAGGTCTAGTTGCTCAATCAAATGGCAATACTGACTCCAACCTTGCTCCATATGTTTGCATATTCTTTCAGTACAGTCTTAGTTCAAGCCTATTCAGTTTATTTGGCTTTATTTGTACTGGTTACCACAGCTGTTGAATGTATTGTATGAGAAACTTATTTAATAAATCCTCTGGAATTTAAGGTTCAACACTGAGATATCCAGTTGGATGAAAGGTGACAGAAACATAGGATTTCTTCTGATTAATTAATAAAGTAATAGTGAAATTTTCTTGAACATTTTTCGGGTCTTTCAGTTGAAAAGCAATAACCAGCCTTTTCCTACCTTCTCTATTTGCTGGTTGGGAGAATGAAATGTTCCTTGGCCTTATTGCCTTAATCCCTAAAAGAAAAATCACCACCTGGTCAAAAATGAAAACAATTAACACATTTGAATTTATAAGGCACTAAATCCAAACAACAGGCAGCTTGGCCTAGTAGATAGAGAGCTCAGTTGGCTTTGAGTCCTGAAGACTGGAGTTTCAAGTCCTGCTCCCAACACATACTGGCTTGTGTGACTTTGAGCAAGTCACTTAGCTTCTAAGTGTACTAGGCACCTCCCTATGTAAAATAAAAAATGATAGCTAAGTTACTTATTAGAAAAGGAAGTTTCCTCAGTAGGAAATTTCCCTGAATCAATTAAATCAGTTAAAAAAGAAAATTTAAACAAACATCTTTGGGTCCAGTGAAAATGGAATTAAGAACAAGGATTTGACCAAGGATTGACCAAGAATAAAAGAATTAGAGCTCATAAACATAAATCTCGGTGAACGGGGGCTTTAAATACTGTTCTGAGAGGAGTCCAGACCTTCACATCATTAACCTTGAGAATTGCTGATAGAGGCTAAAGGAGAATTGGTGGCCTCTAAGAAGGAAGGATTTCATGGCTGCTCCGGATATCTAACCTATAAAGTTCTTAGTGAGTGTTGCCTGTCCTGACACATACCATAGGAATCCTTCACATTATAGGACAATTCTAGTTGAAATATGTACTTTATGGGGAATAAAGTACACATATGTTCAAACCTAGGAATAATATATGGGTTTTTCTCAGATACTCAGAGCAATTCTGAATGATTTGTTCCAGGTCAAAGTAGACCTACTACTCACTTGGAGATCCACAGTAGACTATTTATATGGGTTCCCTCAAGGGGCTGGAATGATCTACTTGAGAAGTTGAGGAAGTAGGGGAAATAATGTCTAGTCAGGACCCCAGATATTCTCCAAATCAATGAGAAACCCTGAAAAGGACACCTGGAAACAGCTCATCCTCCCACATGCCAGAATCTGGCTTCGTTAAAGAGTAGAGCAAATTTCCTGCTCAACCATAGGGTTCCCAAGCCCTAAAGGGAGCTATGATATCTCCAGTGCAAAAGAACAGTGCCCACAAAAATACATTCTGGAAAGCAAGGCCCTCCTAAACACTCTTAGCATTTCACCGACGCTGAATAGTGTCAGAATACATGGTTTTCTGAATGTCTCTGCAGACCCCCTGTAGCTGATATATAGTCCTTTCGATCACCATGTACACTTCAGAACTGGGTGAATAGCCCAGCCCCAAGCAGCTGACAGTCATCCTGAGAAAGGGGCCTATATTTGGGTGAGGAGAGAAAAAGAAAGGAAGATGAGAGGAATCAAACAATTCAATGTGTTTACGGGTTTTGATCACTGATCTCTGGACCCCTGGTGCTCCAAATGCAGTTGAAAAAGGGTTCTGAGATCATCCCACACTTTAGACATCAGCATAATTGGGCTGCTATAACAACAGCATTTTGCTCAGCATTTTCTCCAGTTCAATATTAAACCCCTCTCATCCTGAGTGCTACTAGCCTTAGGAGGCTGAGCTGGAATTCTGCTCAGTTAAAACCAGTCAAATTCTCCTTGATTCAGAATCATGATGAAATCTAATCAAGGCACCTTCCCCATCTGTGCCATCTGAGGATGTATTGCTGAAGGAAAAGAAGTATTCCCATTATTAAAATAAGAAAAGACTTTTATGCTTTCCAATTGCTATACCCATAAGCTCATACTTAGAAATAAAATTTAAAGTACAGCTCTTAAAAAAAAATTCAATCTTCTTCCACCACTCTATTCTAGAGTTTTTTTTTTTTTTCCAAGCAAATTCCCAAGAAACCACACAACCCTCAACCTGCCATCCTCAGGAATCCTTCTTGGTCAGTTCAGCCTTGATCTTTCGCCTTAGGAGGGCTGCGGTTGTACCACTACAGGCAGTCAAGACAAAGAATGAGAGGCAGGCCAAGTAGACAGAGAGGGGGCTATGCCGCTGCAGAAAGATATCCTGTCGTCCTTGGTAATCCAGAAGAATGGCCTCCAGTTGGGAGAGGGTGCAGACTGACAGAAAGGCATGGAAGATCTGGTGCCCATGACCCACGATATCGCAGGAGCCTGGGAAATATTTCTCTGGCACTGGACAGGAGAAGAAATAGGCACTGACCAGGAAAAAGAAAATCTGTAGGGTGTGGTACCAGGCCGCCTGCTCCTGACAGCCAGACAGGTGGCACAGTGCCACTCTGTGGGCCACGGGACTGATGTCCAGAATGAAGGCCAGCCCTGCCGGGACCACCTGACAGATCTTTCTCATGACTGGGTAAGGCCTCCGGTAGCGGTACTTGGCATAGCAGCAACCAGCACAGGACAACCAGCCGCAGAAGGCGGCTGCTGGCAGGAAGAAAAGCCAGAACCGCTCGTACCAGGCCGGGTCGGAGCTGTAGAAGAAGTGAGCCAGGGCGCTGCCATACTGGTAGACGCTTACCCCAACGTAGTCCACGAAGTAGAAGGTGTAGTGGGACAGCTCTGATTTAGACTGCAGCAGGTGGGCCAGGAGGCTGCAGGTGAGGTATGTGATAGAGGACAAGATGAAGAGGAGCAGGGGCAGGGAATGGGCCGAGGTCCACGGCAGGGCTTCCGCCTCGGCAAAGGCTTGGAATCTCAGGAGGACAGCCAGGGCTGCCAGCAAGTGGGTCCACACATTGACCACCTCATTGTGTTTCTGGAAGAGGCTGAAGAAATAGTAACGCCACTCGTGGCCTGTGGGGCGGTAGCCAGTGTGGATGTAAGGCTCCCGGAAGAGCTGGGGCACATCGGTTTCTGGGACGGTGCAAGGCATCTTGGGAAGGCCATCCTCTAGGAGCTTAGGCAGGCGACGCAGCTGCTGTCCGCTGACGGAGAGTGTGCTTAGGCGCTCCAAGATGGCCGTCGTCATGGTTGCCGGAGCTAGGGCCTCTCTATGTAGCAGGCCCAGGACCCAGGAGTCTTTAACCTAGAAGGAAAAAAATCTCTTTAAATGTAGCCAAAGACTCATGTATAATATGAGGGAAGAAACTACACATATTCTCTAGTCTATTAATCAATCAATCAATATTTATTAAGCATCTTCTATGCGCCAGGCACTGTGCTTAGTGCTGAGGATACAAAAAGAGGCAAAATTATGATAACAGCTAACATTTTCTATTGTTGTTCAGTCATGTCTGGATCTTTGTGACCCCAAATGGGATTTTCTTGGCAAAGTTACTGGAGCGGTTTGTCACCAGTGGCTTAAGGCAAACAGAGGTTAAGTGACTGAGTGTCTGAGGTTGATTTGAACTCACGTCTTCATGACTCTAGGTTTGGTGCTCTATCCACTGTGCCACCTAGCTCCCCCAGTTAAGAATTAGAGTCAGGGTTTGAACCTATCTTTTTTGGCTTTAAATGTAGCACTCTATCCATTATAGGACTCCATATTACAAAAATACAGGATAATCATCTTACAGACATTACTAGAATCAACAATGGCATTCAATATCATTAATGATCATTCAATCAATAAGTATTTATTAAGTACCCACTATGTTCAAGCAGTCATTGTTCTCGAGGTATTTGGGATAACCTAAATCACTTTCCAGTGCAAATATCTCAGGGAGCTTGAAGACTTGATATAAAGAATGGATCAAGGCCCCCCAAATACAGGCAAACTATACATTTAAATTGGTAATAGCATGATCAGTACTTGGTACAGGTTTAGTAAAGAAAATACTTTATTGATCATGTGAAATGGGCAAAAAGGCTATTCTGATTTTAATTAAAAAAAAAAAGAAAAGTTGAATGACAAGGGTCTTTGACTGTACCTTGATGACTAGCAGTTTTAAAAGAACTCCCCACTGTAGGTGACTGAATCTGAACTTTATGGTCACCCAACTATTATTATCGTTATTTTACAAGTGAGGAAATTGAGACTCAGGGTAAGACCCTCAGGTTAAGATCGCAGGCCTAAACTCACACAGGGAAGTACAGAACATCACAGCTGGCAGGCAGTTTAGCTGTCACCTCCTAGCTCAATCTCATTTCTGTATAGAGGAGGAAACAGGGCAGCATCAGCAGGAGAAAGAATACTGGAACTAGAAATCAGAAGACCAGGGTTTGAATACCTGCTCCTTGACTTACTACCCATAGACCTTGGGAAAGTGATTTCACTTGTTTAGGCCTCATTTTCCTCATCTATAAAATGAAAAGATTGGACTAGATGGCTTCTAAGGTCCCTTCCAGATTTCAAACTATGATCCCACACTGAGAAGAAAGGGAAACTGACTCAAGGTCCCATGTAAGATAATGACAGAACCTAAACTAGAAAGCAGGTGTCCTGGTTCCCAATCCAATGTTCTCTCAACCACCCCACGCTTGTTTCCCAGAGACATAGTCTCTAAATTAGCCAGATGAGCACAGTTGGGCATTTGGCAAAATGTTTGGTTATAACCATCATTAAGAGAGTTAACAGGTAAGGAACTGGATTTTCAGTATAGAATGCTACTATAATGGCAATCATGCTTTGAATTTCCCCATTTTAAAGAAGTTCCAAGCTTGATTTATTTATGTGATTGATGCTCTTTTCCCCACAGAACCCTGAATGCTTTACTCTATAGCTGACAATTACCCTCTCTTACAACTACGACGTTAGGTTTGTGGTGATGGTCAATAAGGACTTATTAAGTACCTACTATGTGCCAGACACTGCTAAGAGCTGGGTTTACAAAAGCTGGGGAGCAAAATATAGCAAATGTTACATGATTTGTTGAGATGGCAGGATGGGGGATGAAGGGTTGGGAGCAAAACATTTGATCTGCCTACTACTTTCCCAATGTGCCAGAAAAAAAAGGAAAATAAAATCTAATTTTGCTCTGCCAATGACTACCAGGGTGGCCTTGGGCAAGGCTCTAAGGCTCTTTATTTTTTTTTTTATTTTTCTTTTTTTTAATATAAATAGTATTTTGTTTTTTCTAATTACATGTAAAAATAGTTTCCAACATTCATTTTTTTGTAAGATTTTCAGTTCCAAATTTTTCCTCCCTCCCTCCTCTCCCCCCTCCCCAAGAGGGCAAGCAATCTGATAAAGTTTATACATATACACTCATGTTAAATATATTTCCACATTAGTCATGTTGTGAAAGAAGAAACAGAACAACAGGAAAAAAAACATGAAAAAAAGAACAAAAAAAGTAAAAATAATATGCTTTGATCTGCATTCAGACTCCATCAGTTATTTCTCTGGATGTGGACAGCATTTTCCATCATGAGTCTTTTGGAATTGTCTCAGATCATTGCATTGCTGAGAAGAGCTAAGTTTATCACAGTTGATCATCACCCAATGTTGCTGTTACTGTGCACAATATTCTCCTGATTCTGCTCACTTCAGTCAGCATCAATTCATGTAAGTCTTTCCAGGTTTTTCTGAAGTCTGCCTGCTCATCATTTCCCATAAGCCTCCTTAGACCTCATTTTCCTCATCTACAAAAGGAGAGTGTTGAACTAGGACAGGGGTTCTTAAGCTGAGGTTCATGAACTTGTTTTTTAAACTACACAGACACACACATATATGTACGTATATATGTATGTATACACACACATAATAAATGTTTTCCAAAATAATTTGTTTCCTTTGTAATCCTACGTATTTCATTTTATGTATCTAAATAGAGAGTTCTGAGAAGGAGCTTCACTAGACTGCCAAAAGGGTCCAGAAAAGGTTAAGGACCCCCTCACTTAAGATTTCTGAGGACCCTTTCCAGGTATAAATCTCTGATCTCTGTTCTCATGAGGTTAAAAAAAGAAAAAGTGGATGTGGAGGTTCAAGTGTTGGAAGAGGAAAGAAAATGAGAAATGTACAGGGTCAGTGATAGCAAAAGAAATAGAGAAAAAGGAGAGAGAAGAAAGACAGAAATAGGAAGAGAAAGAGTAAAAAATAGCTCCATTTAGGAAAAAAAAGAAATAAGACTGTCAGCTAACAGAAAAGGGGGCTCAGGCTCTGGCACTTCCTAGGAGGGGAATAGTTAGAGTTATTTTTGAATGGACATTTTCCCATCTGTTTTCCACTGGCAGTTGGTGAACAATAATTGAGAGTCGGGGGGATTAACCCTCTAAGTGGCAGATGATACAAAGAAGGCAAGAGGTGGAATGGGACTGCCAATTTTCCATGGTGTCCTACCCTTTGGGGTTGAGAGGTCCACAAGCCAGAAGGAGTCAGAGCTTCTAGGGACAGCCTTTCTTCAGTGGGGAACAAAGTCATATATTGTACCCACACAGCACCTTCTTGAAGAGCTAAAGGGCATTATTTCAATAGAGAGACACTTATCTGTCTACTCTTCTAAGGCATTCAGGGAAGACGTAAGCATCAACCCCATTTTATAGATGGCAGAAATCAAGACGTGCACTGATAATGATAATAGCTATCATTATATAATGCCTACTATGTACCAAGGCCCTATGTTAAGTGTTTTGTAAATATTAACGCATTTGATCCTTACAACAACCCTGGTAGATAGGAGCTATTATTATCCCCATTTTACAGATGAGGAAGCTGAGGCAATCAGAGGTTAAATGACTTGCCCAAGGCCACACAGCTATTAAGTGTCCAAAACCAGATTTACACTCAGGTCTTCCTAACAGCAGTCCCAATGTTCTATCTGCTGTATCACCTACTAGCTACTGCTCCACATTGAATCAGTGAGGAAACAGGGAGGATGGAGGAAGGGATCCTTGAATACTCTTAGCCAAAAACCTTCACCATTTCATCAGCATTTGAAGATGAAGTGCTCCTCTTGGCTCTCTACACCTCTACAAATCTGCTGAAACATGGAATCAATTAAGTTAAATGACACAACAAATTATAAACTCACATGGGGAAGTTCAGAATGTCACAGCCTGTAAGACTCTCGCTAATAGGGGGATCATGAGATCATGGATGTAGTAAAGCTGCAAAGACCCTTGATTTTACAGAGAAGAAAACTGAGGGCTCAGGACGTTACTGAAGGTCACAAAGTTAATAATCCATCATCAGAGGTAGGATTTGAATCCAGGTCCTCTGAGCCAGAGTCAGTACTATTTCCTTAGATACCAGTACTCCCCATTCATCATAATCATCCCTAATTTCTTCTTAAAGTTTTGTCTTCAAGAAGTCTTTTTCATCTCGGAATCATATTTTTATTTCCATTATTTTTATTTTCCCATTGGACAAGGGAGATAGAACTGAGAATAGAAGGATAATTGGGGCACTACTTATGGGAAATAATCTCAGATTTCAAGGGGAAAAAAGCCTAGATAAAAAGCTAGAAGTTAAGAAGGTTCTTTCTCTTGCATAGGGTTCCTCCTCTTTCTAGGATCTCCTTTAAAACTCACAATAGTGACCTCAACTTCTCTTCTATCCCATTATTCAGCAAAACTGACTTGTGGGTAACCTGACACTCCTCAGGGGGATTTCATACAACTCAACAGTCCCTGGAAACAACCACAACTGCCTGGGAACCATGCGCACGATGATGCCAAGTCTCCTCTGCAGTCGTTAGCCCTCGCATCTTCTGGTGCTGAAAAAGATGTGGGTTTCTCTCTGGGAGTCCGGTAGTTTGAGAATTTTTCCCACCTGGCAGGGGTTTTTTTGTACTCTTTCAATGGCTCAATTCACACCCCATCTTTTTCATGGAGTGGTCACCACTGCTGGAAAATCCAGCTGTCAGCCTTCATAGCTGAAGCTGGGAAGAACTGAACTGTCTTTGGAGCAGGCCAGGCCCATTCTCATGATGTCAGGGGAGTGAGAAATGCTTCCAGGGAAAGACTTTACAATGATCTACTCTCAGAGCTGGAGGCCTGTGGATATGGAACATTGTATATACGATTAGACCTGGCCAGTGTTTTGGTTAGTTTTACAGAACTACTTTTCCTTTCTCTTTCTTTTTTATTTTTTTCAGTATAATGAATGGCTTTCTGAGTGAGTAGGAAAATTATATGTTGCAAATG